TTTTTCTGTAGTTGTAGCCCGTAGCGCAGAAATCTGCGGAATTTAGATTTTTCCGTGTCAGCTGATTTCTCCTTCTTTAGATGGTTGCCACTTCGTCAGTTATGCAGATGGTAAAAAAGTTATAAGTTCCTATTCGAAATATGTTTAAAATATTTGAAATTTACTATTAAATAAGGTTTTTGTTGAAAACTAAGTAGTACATATTTAGTTACCATCTATTATAGCACGAAAAATTGTGGTTGAAAGGGTAAGTTTATGAAAAGGCATTGAAGAGTGGCAACAGTGTAGTAAGCAACACTGAAGGCTCCAGTAATCGACAAAATTCTGCGTATACAGACTGCGTTTAAGTATACGTTCTGCGTTCTCGACTAATTTCAGCTTTAGAATTGGTATGTTCGAATAGATAATCAGTGTAAAATATCCAGCAGCAATTTGCAGGAGAACGCAAAATTAGCAAAAATTAGATGCAAGTTTTAGGTACAACCGATCGCGTTTTTTTACATAAAAACGCAAAAATCATGAATATAATAGAATAGCCTTATTCATAAAAACTAAAGGAGCTTTAAAAAAGGTTTAAGGCGAATTCATTGTTCTAGTTCTGTAGCTCGTTTCTGTAACATTTCTCTACCAAGGCGAATTGAGATATGAATTCGCCGCCCTGTTCTCTATTGCTAATTAGTAGGTGAAACGGGCTACTGAACTTTTTCTCCCATGTGGTTGTTTTATATTGCTCTAACGTGGAAGAAAAGTTCTGAACTAAAATGATATATCTGCCTTTATTAATTAAAAAAATTGATGAAAACGCCAATTTATAAAGCTTTTCATACCTACTTTATTTTTTATAAATAAGGACATAAGTAAATGAGTATTTGCTTTCTTCTTCCCAAACATTTGCAGCTCTAATCAATTGTTTTAAACTTAAAATCATCAAAATAAATTCATCATTTTCATAAATTGCAAACAGATGACTTTCATTGGCTGTTATTTTGTTGGCAAATTTCTGCTGGTAAAACTTCTCAAAATTTACTGTCAATTTCCCCTAATTTGCAATTTTTGCGTACGCGAACGGCTAATCCTGATAATTTGTGATAGTTATCAGGTTATCGAACAGGCTTTTTTTGGGTTTTTGGTTTTACCGGACGAACCGGAAGCACAAAGCGGAACTCGGAAATAATTAGGAAGTTGCATTTGCTTCTTGTGTTCCTGTTTCATAAAGATGCCACATTGAAAAGTCGTACGCTTTTCACACAAACTTATTTATGGTTTGATTATGCATACTTCGCATAACTTCGCACAACTTCCCATAAGAATCAAACTGTAATTTCGGATGTACTTTTTAAGTATTTTGTATGTATTCCATTATCCAGATATCAGCAGAACTTTAAAAAACATAGCTATCTGTTGAGTTTAGATTTTGCTTCACATTTTCTTAAGTTAAATTTTTATTGCACTGGTACAAATGGTTGTGCGAAGTATGCAGACCTTTAGGGTTTACACGAGACAATACTGGCATGACCATAATGTCAAAATGATGTGTTTGTTGTAATATGAATTCGCCTTGTTTATAACAAACACATCATTTTGACATTATTGTCCGGTGTAAACCCTAAGTTAAACGAAATTATGAAAAGTACATTTTTGGTAACTTTTTAAATATTAGCAACGTCTGTTGTTTGAGCTCATTTGCTGCTTTGCAAGATTGACAGGCCACTTGCTCAATTTGGTGAATACTGCTAACGTTTTGTGCTTTTAATTAAGCTGTTTTTTTTATATAAGATTTTGTACAAATACCTGATAGTACTTACTTCAAATGGTGAATATCGGTGCAAAACGCTTATTTACAAAAACAAAACTGAAGGGTCAATCTCTATGGTGATAAAATAAAAAATATTAAAGGTGTGCATGTAATGAACAATTTTTAGAATTTTCTTAATTGTCATTTTAGTCAACAAGTATGTAATTAACTTGATCTTTGCATTAAAAAATGACAGAACAAAGAACTCAGCAATAAGTTACGCAGATATTGTCATTATCAACACAAAATGTTTTTTCATAAATTCTTTTTCATAAATATTCCGTTTATTGGCCCCCACATATGTATGTATGTATACACATGGATGAGACCTAATAGCATATTTAAAACAGTTCTGTAAGCATTTCCTATACAAATTTAAACAACACTTTTGCTTATTTTGTAAAATTTTTAGTTTATCAAATGGAACTTTTTACATATGAGGCATGAGGACTAGAGGAGCCTATTTACCAACAAAATTTAATAATATGGGAAAGATGGATCTATAAAAAATAAATGCGGTAGTTTACTAAAAAGTTCATTGCCTTGGGCTATTACTGTTTCGATTCTAGTAATGCATTTTAAGGTGCACCTCTACTTTTTTTGAAATGTCAGTTAGGGTACTCTGGCCCTCAAGGCCTCATATATTTATTGAAGGTGACGATAAAAGCACACAAGCATATTTGTTCTAATGGCCGGTTGTTCATTGTCTGGTTATCACCAATACATCATTATCGACTATTTCGACATCATGCATATAACATATGATCGTTAAAGCAGTAGTTGTTTTCAACCGTAGCTCCTACCTCCAATTTGTGCTAATCAGACATCGAACAACCGGCTCTAAGTGTTTTTTCAAGCTTCCTCCTTAATGTTGTCAGAGAAATTTGGAGGCCCACAGCAAGGCAGATGGTTGAGAAGCATTTTCATGACAGAAGTACACTCGAAGGCTGGCCTTTATTTAACCCGAGAGTAGTCATGCCCTTCCGTGAAGCGTGTGTGATCACGTGGGAGCATTTACCGTCCATATTTAAAAATGATGTTTTTTTTTTGTAATTAATCGTCAAGTCAGTTAGTTTTTTAAGAAACAGATAACNATCGGTTTTAACATTTACATATGTATATACACACAATCAGCTCAATTTAGGAAATGATACTTTTCATCTACTATGCAGTTCTACATTAAAAACTTCAGCGTAAATCTTGAAAATCTTCGGTTAATGCATTTAAAAAATATTTCGAACTGTTTTAAACAATGGTTTCAAACTAAATACATATACAGCCCAAAAAGATTGTATGCCTAGATCGATGGCCTTGTGATCACCCAAACTAGCTCTTATTAACAGAAAAGTGCAACAATGAATTTTTTGTAATTGTAAAAGCAAATTAAATATTTTATCAGTAAGTAAAACCAAAACAAAACTGGTATAATTTGCCATAAGCAACAATAACTTTGAAGTATCTAACAAAAGTCCCCTTAAGTTAATTTGTTATTAACTCAACTTGTTTGACTTAATTGCGATCCAGTTAATATCAATAATAATAATACCAAACATTTCATTTTTATGCTAGAGCCGCGCACCTGGCGCCCAATCGGGCACCACACTCAACGATGTCATTAATAAGCCGTTAGACGCTAATGTAAGTAAATATTTTATCGCCAACCATGCACTTGAACTACAACTCAAGTAAGCTTACATTAATTAAAATTTGCAAACTACACTCCACAGTTGCTCTTCGAGACCGTGGCATCTGTAGTTGTATTTCAATTTGATGGTAGCGCCACTATACCGACAGCGGTCGGCAAAACTGATAGCGAGCATTTGAGTGCGTTGGAGAACAGTAGCAAGGCGTTGGAGAAGAGTGGAAATGCTTCATATTTTGATCGCTTAAATTCGTGGTTGGGACAGATTCTACAACGCGACTGCCCTAATGTAAGTAAACATTCTTTTACAATAATTTTGTTTTCTATTAAAAAACGTTTCTTTGTTTCCCATCGTAGTTTGATTTCGAAATCATTGAGCATCCCACACAAGGCACTTGCATACGCTATTGCCCGCTGGAATTGGGATTGGGCGAGCAGCCACCAACATCGGAAAATTTGGAAAGTTTCGCACAGAATCTCGAAGGCAATGTGGATATTTTACGTGCTACTATTAAACATAAAGCAACATTTATACAATTAGTTGAGAAAAGCGATGTGCTACGTCTGGTCAATCTGCCTGAATGGGCGGGTATGGGTGGTGTACGTTTTGTGCCCGAAGGTTGGGAATCACTGCTGACCGATCAAGCCAAAACGGAGTTAAATAAGCTAAACGCGGATCTCGTTGATGCTTTGAAGTCAACCGATAATGCCTTCTCGCTGGGCGAGGGCACAGATGGACTAATCTGTGTGCGCTTTGGCATGGTCACACATGAAACGGATGTCGACGAGTTGCTCGATTTGGTCGTTTCGGTGGGTAAAAGTGTGCAGGAAAATTCAAGGGTGTTGGATACAATGTCGGAAATAGTGAAAAAGGTTAGTGTGGGAAAGATTGGCAAAGAATATTTCTAGTTGTTTATTGAAAACATGTATATTAAAAAAACATTACTAAAAATACACTGCCATTTAGGGCATCGAAGCTGCCACAGCCGATTTGCAGCGTGAAACGGAGGAAAAAATGTGGCAAGAGGGCATCTTACGTCATGTACCAGTTGTAGGCCGCGTCTTCAATTGGTGGTCACCGCCTGCCAAGGAGACTGGTGGCATCAAAGGACGTAGTCTCAATCTAACACAAGGTGTTGTCGAAAGCACAGAAAATATTTACAGGTGAGATTTAATAAAATGTTCTGATATTTTTGTATGGCTTTAAACATATCCGCGCATAACTTCACAGATATCACATGCAAATGTCTGGCTCGCCACACCAAGCTGGACGTTCGCCACCCACGCCCATGGTACAAACGCCTGTAATCTCTGCTGCCAATGCAGTGCCCCCTGTTTTTCCCGATCCAACATCACAAGTGCAAACATCACCAGTACAAGAACAACAACAACAACAGCAGCAGCAGCAAACGCAACAGCCAAATGCGAATAATGTCGATGAAGGCTGTAATAGTCATGCGCGCAATACAAGCCAGAGTAGTGGTCAATCTTCGGTGCCTGAACTGGTACCAGTCAATGTGAATGCGATTGCGAATACAAATACAATAAATAATGGAAAGTAATTCAATAGTAATTAGATATGTATATTGTGAATTACAAGTACTTTAATGTAATGCAATGATATCAAGCCTTGTTTTCAGCTAAGAAAACGGCGTATTATTTTAAAATATCTTGGAGCTTGAATATGCGTCAGGCTCACTTCAAGTTTAAAAGTGTTTATTAACGTCGCAAGCTTCTCTTAGTTATTACATAGAGATAGAAGGAGTAGAACATAATAGAAAGCATTTTTGTATTTTTGGCAAAATTGTGCAGTAGTAAGAAAAATACACAAAACAAATGCATTGAAGAGCAACGAACTTCCGGAAATGATCAACAAAAAAACTAAACCCACAAATAAACAAATGTTAAAAAGTAATAATGTGCAATTATTTAAGATCATTTTTGTGTTAACCAAAGTTCGGTAGCCTGATTGTAGCGCGTATGTTAATTGACGGGTTACAAAATCGGTAAATCGCGGAATTCCCGAATGTATTATTTATCAATATTTTTATGTATGAACATATGTATGTACATTTTATTTATAGATACATACATTTTATCACTTGTATTAATTTACGTGTACCATACTTTAATTTCGTTATGGAATTTAATTTACAAAAACCCAAAAAACAAACAAGCCAGCCAGCAGCTGCAGTTCTATTGACCACTGAATAAAGAAATGCGTCTCAAGCAACTGGCGCACAATTTTTTCTCTAACGAAAAGTACATAAAATCATTCCTTTAATTTTTATTTAAAAAAATATCTACGAAAATATTAAGCGGTTTCTGATAACTAAAAATGCTGCAAATAGTTAAATATGCCCTCTTTCGATGAAAAGTTTTAGCTAAGCTATCTCAATTTCTAAGCTGTTGTACATGTGATTCCATGAATTTCTTTTCTATTCATTTAAATCAAACTGTGTTTTGTGCTCTATATCAGTATATTATTTTTCTTTATACAAACAACATTTTAATCAACTAATTTGAAATTTCACTCGTGTTTTTCTGCTACCTTTTATATTATACTTAATCTTCCACATTCAACAGAAACAATTTCAACTATTGTACTCTATTATAGTAAATCATTATTAATGAATATTTAATGCAAATTCAAAATACTATTTAAAAATAGTAAGCAATATAAAAATGATAAAAGAAATAAAGCGAATTATTTCGGCTGAGTGTGCACAATTTGCAAATTTTATTGGTGGTGGTATTTTATGGTAAGTGGGAATCAGGAACTGTTGAATTTTTAGCATTTCTTGAGTTATACTAAGAAAGTTTTTGGAATATGTTTGCTTATTTGTACAATTTTGGGGTGGGGCGAAGGGGGAAGAGCGTGGCCTCAACCCCCCATAACGAAAGAGGATGGACGCCGCTTTATGGAAAGGCAAATAGGGAGGATAACTTATGAAAATTCAGTGCAAAGTGCGAAATCACCTACAGTTTTAGATAAATCAAAAATCTATGTGAGCAACTACCGATTTAACGTTATTAAGAAGAGATTGGGATGTTGAAGAATGTAAGGAGGACCAAAATTTATATCCGGCGAAGACCTGTCAGCACTACGTGCATAGTTCCATCAAGTAGGAATTATTTCAGGACGGTTACCATTATAAATAAATATTTGAAATTAATTAATACAAAATGTGTAGTTAAGTCAACTTTTGCAAGGAACTCCTCTAATCAAATGGATCGCCATTTATTGCACACTTACCTGAGACTCCGCCGTCGACAGCAACATACGCGGTTTATGTACGAGTATTAATTATTACTTTTAATCACTTGTCTTGCAAAAAAACACCAACCACTACTTTATCACTCAAATAATCTAATTTTTTCAAGCACTTTCACTACTTACTACACCATTTTATCACATTTAAAAAAACTACTATCAATTTGCACTGATTTCAAGCAAACGGTACTTTTATGTGCTGATGATGGTGGTATTGCCAGATGATATGCGTTTTTTAAGCTGAAATTAGTCAAGAACGTAAACCTACCGGTACGTAAAC